AGTAGAAAGTGATCCAAGTTCTCAAATAGAAAGATATTAAAGTACCAGCCCATTTACAAGAGATGTAATATCGCTCCCTATCTGAGTAAATCTCCAAGTATCTAGAAGAGTGCAAATACACAGCACCTAAGCTGAAGCATTGCTCCAGCCTGACATGCCCCTAGATCGCTCCTATGATTGTCCCTCATTCAGGGTTGAGCCATAGCAGGTTGGCAGCAGACTGGAGCAGTTGGGCAGATACCCTAATCTGCCGTCACTGTTTGTTTTCCACGTAATGAAACTTGACATGGGAATTTCCAAGTCAATTAGACAGGATTTAGAAAAAAAAGAAAGAAAAACAATGAACAATGAAAACATTATCTGCACAAAATGTAGACCGTGTTTAAGAGGCATTTGAAACTTTCTTCAAAAACAAGAATTGCATTTTAAATGGCTCTCACCGTGCATCAAACTGCACAGACACAACGTCGGATTAGTTTGCCGGACTGAGCAGTGCCACCAGCAGCTTTCTTCCCTCCCAGGTTAACATCCATACGCCTGTACTGTGGTTAAGTACTTTTGTACCACTGTACTCTGACGCAGCTCATGTACAACTGTTCGTTTTGTGGATCAATAAACTGCAGAACACTCACATGCCTGCACAGCCCAACTCTGTCCTATGCTTCTGTCGTTTGATGGTTCAAAACACAGTGTCCTGCTCAATTTGATGACCAACTTAATAATTAACCTTAATACATCACCTCACTTCCTCTGGGATTTCCTGCTTTTCTTCAGGCCTACGCTCCACTGAACTCTCTCTCTCTCTCTTCAGTTATGAAAGGCTGGCGAGAGCTTAAAGCCGACATCTTTCTGTGCCTTTCATTCACTGACTGTCTTCTAAATACGAAGGGTTCCCACTGGCCATATGGTGGTATAATCTAGCCTCTTTGATTGAAGTTGGCAGTGCTGACAGCTGCGTGCATCACAGAGGATTTTGGTGAATACAATGAAGCACTGAAATGGAAAACTCAACAGCAGCAGGGATGTTTCAGGGGAAAAAAACCCCAAAACAAACAGCTATATCTGAGGTGTACTGATAGAAGGTAGAAGTAAAACGTTCATTGTTCCAAATCTACTTCTTAATTATTGTTATTAACCTAAATTAATTAACAGTATTTTGATGGGTTCTAGTTTCTAAAGCTGCTTTACTCTATTTTAGGTCTCTCCATACAGAACTTTGGCTTCTTTATTCAAAATAGTCCCTTGGAAGCAACATGCTGTGTATTTGCACTTATTTTCTGACACTTCAAACAAAAACCTGCTGAAACAAATTCTGTGATTTAAATTAAATTAGGTTTAAAAGAAAAATGCCTTTGAGCAGGTGACTATATGCCACATGGTTGAAATACAGAGGCTTGGGTTCTCTGGCACGGTTTCTCCTCCTTCCTGTCTAATCTTCACAGCTACAGTGTCCAATAAAAGAAAAATGCCCCAAAAATTATCTTTAAAAAAGTGAAACCCAGAGGAGCCAATTCAAATAGCCTTCAGGCCGAGGAGCAGAGCTGAGGATGGTGCGTTTCTGTTTTTTAGGCCACCCCCTCGCCATAAGCCAATTTTAGCTAAATTTATAATAAAATTTTGAAACTGTCAAGTTATAAACGGGAAAAAGCCTCAAAAAAGCCCTTTTTTTTTATGTTAGATTTTTGATATCTACATTTATTTAGTGGGGTTTAAGATGATCAGCAACAATATGAACCAACACCTGGCAGCCTGGAAACTTAACATAAACAGCCATCTTTGCTGAACACAAACTTAAAACCAATAAACTACCAAGACATGATACAATTCAATTGCATTATATTTATACAGCACCACATCACAACAACAGTCACTTCAAGGCTCTATACATGCACTGTTGGTAATCAGCACCTTTAGACTAAGCCAGGTGAGCAGTTTTCCTGTCTTCCAATCATCCTGCTCAGTAACAGTTGGGTAAAGACAGGTGACTGCACTGAATTCTTTCAGAGACAGAATTGTAAATAGCTGCAGCAAACAACAGGCTGTCCAGAAACTGAGCATGCAAACCTTCAACTCAACCCCCTGACTTTCGACTGCACAGCTGCTCACTAGGCAGCAACCAGTCTCCAAACAATCACAGTCCAACTCACACTGACTGCAGTCACTCTCATACGGATTTCTGAAAGTTTGCAAATAATTTCAGACTAAACGGGGCTTCCAAACACTCTGAATTCAACCTTAGTTAAATTGAAATCCTGTTTTTGCAGCAGATGACTTAACTAGTTGCAAACTGCTTGAACCCTGGTTTTACTTTCATATAAAAACTTAAAGGTTGCCGAGCACCTGTGTCATTTTGCAGTTTAGTCACCATTCTGCAGCAACTATGTCACTATTTATGTTGGAATTTCTGCTTCAAATCTAACAAAATCTGGTTGGGATGAGCGTACACAGATAATATGAAGTTCTATGTATGTAGATGGCAACACATTTGCAGCAGATGGCAACAGATTTATCACAAACAAATTGCATGTAATTTCCAAGTTGACACATTCAATCACAGATTGATGTAATAGTAACTACATCTTATTGCCATTTTATCTCCCTAAAGTTGTTTTGAAAACGCCTCCTGACTGGGAGCGGTCGCAGACCTGATTTCCATTTTCTAACCCACCATTTGAAAGAGAGTGAGATTGGAAGTTCATTGCATAGAGTCAGAACAAATCATTGTTTACCCCGACTGTAGCAGATACTAAACTATCAAACATTGAATACAAATGTTTTCCAAAATGTCAATGTTTAGCTTGTGAGTTTTGTCCAACCGCACCAGTTGAGTCCTTGCTCATCTGATTTGCATTTACATGAATGGTTCACGCTGCTACTGAACTAAAACACCAGAACAACCTCCAGTTGAGTAGTGGAGTTACTTCATTATGCTGGCATTGTGCTGGGAGAGCTTAACCTCATGTCTCCGTCCTCTCCACTCACACACAAACATGTATGCATGCCACCTGCTTGCCAGAATCATTTGCCGTTGGATGGGTCTCGAGAGAGCTGGTGGAGGGGGTGAGGTCACCAGTACACTGCTGATGCCATCTGCCCACCCACACCAAACACACACACACGGCTGACCTGACATGTCTGGATTTGACAGATTTCATTCCAATATCCATTTGAGGAAAACAAGTTCCCCGCTGTACATTTTGAAAAAAAAAAATCTCATAACACCCAACAGCAACAACTAAACCATCTCTAAGGGTTGCTTTAAAGTGGATAAACAGTATTATAGTTCTGCATTCCTAAAAAGGCTAATTCACACTATAAAATTGCTTTTCCCCCCCCTATTGATTTGTAGAATGTAAATGCAGTCTGGGATTCCTTATTCCCTTCCTAACTACACAACTAACCGCAAAATCTAGTTTAGATTTTACTTGTGCTGGTACAGAAAAAAAAAGAGAAGATGCTGGAAACAAAATAAAACGTAGTGCAGGGAAGGTCAGCGGCCAGACGGCTCTTAAGAGGCTTATGAGAAGAACATCACCTCAAAACACCTTCAACACGCCCACTCTGAGACGCAGCAGGATCAAGGATCAGGCTGTCATGCCCTTGCAGCAACAGGAGAGCAAATCTGGCTCCTCGCCCGGGCAGGGAAGCCCAACACTTGACACTTTAGCAGTTTCAACAGCCGAGTGGGTGCCCGATGATGTGGTTGTTTGGTGGGGAGCCAAAAAGTCAGAGAGTTGCGACTGATGACTGAAGCATAATGATTTGTGTAAATGCAGTGGAATAGAAGGCTGTGAAAGGGGACACGCATGGGCGGATTATAAGACAATAGGCCTCTGGGCACAAACATGCAAAAAGCCCTTCATAACAGCCACCACCACCTACACACCACCTGAAAAGGCACCAACGTTGCCCGTTTGTGATCCCTTTGGGTCTCCTTTTTGTATTGTGGTAATTTTACAGCCTGTCACTGTTTTCCCCCTCTCTGTGGTCGTTGCATATGCGGAAAAAGTTTGGGCACGTCACACCTCTTTGGCCTCGATTTGTGTAAGTTTCGCTAGTTTTTGTTCATTTTGTGGCCTTTTTGCATAACATTGTGTCACTTTGTAGTCTTGTGCAGTCATTCACTTCAAACAGCTCAGGCTTAAGGGACCCAAGGGATCATCCTGTTCAGTAATCCTTCCATGGGGACACCAAGTGGAGCATGTATGCCTACAACATTTTTACTTTTTTTTTTTTTTTTTTTTTTTTAAAAGGTAGCCTTACCAATAAATTCAGGTCTTTCATATTAAAAAATGTTTTATTTTTTTACCTGAAGGAATGGCAACATCGCTGTAAACAGAAAAAGAAATCTTTTAAGCCCCTACATGGATTTCAATAAACTGATGCGCAGTTTTCCCCCCCTTCAGTCCTTGTTTACCAAAACCACCATCTATGACTCCGACCTTCATTAAGTCTCCTGGTGCTTCGGCTTGTCCCGAAAGCCAATAAAGCCACGCAATAGATTCTGTCCTGCCCTGCAGCAAAGCGTGACCAGACCACACATAAAGGCTGAGGTCACCTATCACACCGAGCCGTCGCTTCCCGTTTTTAATTAAATCAAATTTGAGAAAATAAACTAATAAATAAATAAATCTGGGAGGTGATTTAGTCTGAAGAGAGACTGGAAGCACTTCAGGCCACTTTCCTCTAAAAGCGGAGCTGTCAATCAATGACAGGTGATACACACTCCTCATTAACATGCGGCACAGCCAGGCAATCCACATGGTGTTACTCAGACATGTGCTTGCAAACCTAAATCTGTTTTTTTTTAACAAAAAAAAGAAAGAAAGAAAGAAACCCAAACAAACACGAGTTTCACTGAGCTTTTGGCACTAAACGCGCTAAGGTTTTATTGATGGCTAACGCAGAGAGTTGTGTAAACCATCCCTGGAGCTACAGATGTCTGTGTCGCTCCACACGCGCGCAGAGGTAAGTCAGTCCACATTAGAAAGCATTCTTACCTGCTTGAGGCTCCTCACAGCCTCAGCGTGCACAGCTCCCCTCCTTCTACCTCGACAGCGCTTATAATACCAGCCTGCCCCGTTTTCCTGTTTCCCTCTTCCTCCCTCTCTCTGTATTTCTCTCTGCTCACTCCGTCTCCAGCTGACTGGCACACATTTGCTTTTATTTCTCTGCTACACCCAATATATCGCTCAGTGAGCCTCCCCTTCCCCCTCTGTCAGTCAGTTTGCTCTCATCAGCCCTCTCTTCTTCTTCTCTCTCTCTCTGCTGCCTTCAGGTGATCCTGGTAAACGCAAAACACCACCGCTATTCGCATAGACTCAAACGCTGAGCTACTAATTTGACGTGTCTATGACGGGATTCACACACCTGTACGCGTCCTAAGCCACTCTGATCAATAAATCTGAGGTCTGTGATCATTACTGTAGCCAGACTTTATTGTGTGTGTGTGTGTGTGTGTGTGTTTTTAAAGTGGTCTTTTTCAATTTTCAATTTTCAATATTTTTTCAAAGGTTTTCTTTTCACATTTATTGCTTTTTTCATTAATTTTCAGTCCAGTTCTTGTACCCGACCATTCTCAGAGGGATGTTTTTGTTATTTGTTAAGACACTTAACACAGAACTATGAATCGTGCCAGTGTAAAAAAGCCACCTAACTCAGTGAACCATGCTGTTTCTATGCCTAATAGACAACTTGGCAAAAAAAAAAAAAAACAGTTTTAAACTTCATCTTGAAGCACTTTGTTACTTGTGAATTATCGCAAAACTGCATCATTTGTTTCTATTTCTTTTGTTGAATCAATGAGAAATGCCAAATACTGCCAAAACGCTATCAGGTATAAACTGGACATATTTTTGGCTTGATGTGCAGTGTGTCCTTAAAAACACTGAGGAATCTGGACAGGTGGGGGATAAAACAAGATATGACAGGCCTATCTACAAACTATCTACAGCACATGAAGAGTATTTGAAAGTTACATCCACATTATGCAAGAACTGGACTGAAGAACAGTGGCAACAGTTTTCCCAGGTCTTATGGAGTAATGAATCCAAATGTGAACATTTTCATTCATCATCAATATGTATGGAGGAGGTCAGGAGAGAGCTTCAACAAGAAAGTCTCTACAGTCATTTGTAAAACAAGGTGGAGGCTCTTTCATGGTTTGGAGCTACATTTCAGCCAGTGGTGTTGGCGATCCTGCCAAATTTGAAAGAATTATGAATGTAGAAAAGTACCAGGTTCTGCTCCACCATGCAATACCATCTGGAAAGTGTCTCATTGGCAGTGGCTTCATTTTTCAGCATTACAATGATCCCAAACACACTACGAGTGTAGTAAAACCCTACCTGGACAGTAAAAAGAATCACACAGTGGAGCACTATCAGTCATGGATTGGCCTCCCCAGAGGCTGGACCTCAGCATTATTGAAGCAGTGTGGGATCATGTTGATAGTGAACAGAATAAAGGGCAGCCGACATCCAAAGAAAAGCTTCAAATGTCCTTCAAGAAGCCTGGAAAGCTATTCCTGAATACTACTTAAAGAAATACCAAAAAAGCATGACTAAGAGAGTTCAGCCTGTGTTGAAGAATAAAGGTGTTCACACCAAATATTGACCTTCAGGCTCGTAGCTTAAATTATTAAAATAATCATTAAAAAAAGCAAAAGTTGGTGTTTCCATGTCACCTGTAGACTCATATTAACACAACCATTGAATCATGAAGTGAATTGATGTTGTTCTGGAATGTCTGTCATCAGTTTAGGTATTGACTGTAGTAGAAAATAGTGAGAACACCTATGTTATATATATATAATGTAATTAACTTAACATTTCCATTTTCACACCAGTCCAACAGGAAAAACAAACAAAATCAACAAACTCCCTTTTAAATGGTTTTTGTTTCAATTTTACACACCAACTTCTTTCTCGCTATTTACCACAAGTGGGTTTATTATTTCTGACAGCCCATGAAGGCAGCACTGTTTGCACACATGCTTTTTAGCTGCATGCCCCTTTGGTTTGACCCTCCATCCATAGCTATTCATCCCCTCCCTCTGTGCCTCCGTCTCTCACTGAGCAGTACAGACTACACACTTTGGCTGACTCTGGCAGATGCCTTGTGGGGAATCAGTATTATGAAAACAGGGATTGTGAATCATCACAAACACACTGGTCACAGCTCTCTGTTCGTACCGCCCCATTGTGCTTTCTCTGTTCTCCACTCTTTCTGCCCACTTGTTTTCCCCTCTCTTTCACTTTTCTTTTTGTCCCAGTGCTCATGTGGCCGGCCTAGTTGTTGCAAGCTCATAGACCTTGATGTGTTCAGACACTCATGACAGTGGGGCAGAAGACGAGCAGAGTTATCGCAGTTGCTCTGTGATCGCTCTCAAAACTGTCTCTTTGATTAAAGAGATGACAAAGCGTTTCATCCTGGTTCACTGGGCCAGATACAGTAGCTGGGAAACGGAGTTCTGTTGGAGATGAGGGAGCGGATAACACCAGCAGGATCCTCCTGTGATATAATTGCCAGAGAAAAGCATACTGTGCATCCAGAATGGAGCGAGTACCAAAAACACACACTGATGATAATGGCAGTTTTATTACATAACTTTCTCACAATTTACAAAAAAAAAAAAATACAAACTTTTAATTATTAATATAATATAAGTTTACAAGTTTTTACTGAGTTTCTTAAAAATCATTGAACAAGTTTCTTATCAGTTATATTAAATCATGTTTATAATAGTGCTTTTTTATTTATTTATTTTTTTTACACAAATAGCTACCATGAATTTAAAGCCGGTTAGTTTTTGACTTTCTCTGATTTGTTGAGTGAGGGTTTTAGTCCTGAAACAAGGTCCAGTCTAGCCTCAGAATCGGTAATGTGTTACGGGTCCTCCTGGAAGATCAAAATGATTATTTTAAATGGAGAAATTACATTTCAAGTACCCAAAATGTCACAATTTTTAATAACAGAAACAACAGCAACAAAAAAAAACGTAATGTCTGTCATTTAGACTGCAATTTTTTCTTGAAGCATAAACATACAGCTCACTAAAGCCCGTTTACCATTAGTACCTACTCGGATCAAGTTGACTTGGATCGACTGGTTTTCCATTACAGTATTATAGCTCCCACTAAGTACTAAAGGTGATGCAGTGTCCTGGGTTTGTGTGCTATCCTGTCTAATCTGTCTCAACTGTCCCATCAAATAAAAGCTAAAATGCCCACATTCACCCTTTGTGCATCCTGTGCTCACCGTGTATGCAGGGTTTTGGAAAGATGCAGAACTCTCATCTCCATTTGGCTGAAACATATGCAAAGGAATTTTTTTTAAAGCAGGCCCATGTGTATGCAGATGATTGCAGATTCAGATCCTGTCATTATTTGCTTTCAGCTTCTAATGCTTAAATACTATTCTGACATTTGTCTTTGTGGATACCTGCGTGCTCGAAACAGCTGGTCGTGCAGATGTGATGTTAACGTCTTCTACGCCAGAGCCATATGCTGGGATCCCAAGATCCTCCTAAAAAAATGCAAAAAGTAGAAGAAGTTTATAGGATTAAATAAACAAATAAATGATCACCACACAATAAAACAAATAAGACTATCAGAGTGAGATTTGAAAGCAATTTTTTTAAGTGTTCAATGTGTTACGACTCGCTCAAATGAAACTAATCTGCAAAGATTTGTGATGAATGTGATGGCAACCTCGATGGAAACTTCAGGCTTGGAATCACTTCCTATGCGTTCAATCACAGCTTGAGCCTCTTTCCCATATAAGGGATTCTCAACAAACTCCTGATGGAGGAAAAAAAATGGGGTCATGAGACCGAGCTCATCAAAATATAAAACCCACCAGATCACAGAGCAGCGTTTTAATACAAGAATATGATGCTGAGGAAAGGTACTTTACTTTTTTCATTCAGTTACGTAACACAATAAACAGCACATACAAGATTTGCACTACGTTTATATTAAAGCCTTGAAATGTAATTTATACACAAAGTCTGAGCACAAGAGCATAATCCATAGGGGAATTGTTAGACGCAGACATGAAATAAAAAGGAATAGAGAGGAATCAATAAAGTCCACAGGAGAGCAGTGGTTGTTGTTTACTCACCTCATTTGTTGCCATAAGAGCGGAGGTGGCTTTAGGCAAGTTGTTGGAGGATAGTGGTTCTCCACCTTCATACGCTGGGTTCTCAAAATTCTTCCCTGATGTCTCCACCGTGAATACGGACGTACAGGGGACCTGACATAGCACAGCACAGCACATATTAGCGTTATGGATCACCATAGACAGGATAAGAAAGTATAATCTGTATTAAATCTCACAAAGCATTTTTAAACAGTTAATGAATATATTTTGTTTTGCTACTGACCGCCTCTCCATTCTGCAGGCCTTCATTGTCCTCTCTTTTCATGCCATTTTGGGTTGAACCATTCCTGCAAAGTATTATTATTTGGATGTAAATATCATACTAGCATGTTCTGATAATGCTCTGTCAACAACCTTTACATGCAATGAATGGATCTGCTTTTATATTCATTTTTATTCGGAGGCCTTACATTTTTTGCCTTACTGTCAAAAAATGCTATTGAATATTGAATAAAAATGTTAAAATATATCAAAATGAAATATGAATTCATATTCTTATTATTTTAATATTTGTAATAAATTTTTTAAAAAAGTGTGTATTTATCATTGTTGTGATTTTACTGTTTATTTACTTTCCCATTTGATTTTCAGTTTACTTATGAATTTCTTTATTATTAAATCTCATCGTTAGCCCACCACGCAGTGTAAGGTTTGTGGAACTGGTGCTCAAAATTAACAGTACCGGTAATTACCAAATTATTTTTAAAATGTTTATGTAACAGTTAATCCACCAGTATGCACAAGTTCTGATTAAAATGATACTAAAATAGGTTTTGTTTTTATCTGTGAATTTTCAATTGTATTGTTTCTCCCCCCCAAAAAGCAGAAAAAAATTATAAACCATATTATTATTTTTGTCAGATTAGAGTTTTTTTTACTTTCATTCCTGAACAGAAAATCAGTTTTAGTGGTTGAATGTTACACTTCATTAATTTCTGACTTTTCCGATCTTACCTGAAGTTTGGAAAATCAGGCATTGATGGCATACTGGGCATTTTGGGCATGCTTGGCAAGTTGTTCCACAAACTCTCGGCCAGATTCGACTTCTTCTTGGCAGCATAGACCAGAGCAACCAGCAGAGCCACAAC